ATAAATTTATTACAGTTTCAAGTATAATTAATCAGTATTACTAAAGATTCTAATTTTTTTTCCGTCGTGTTATTTTTAAGATTTATTATGGTCTTTTATCTGTATAAGAAAAATATTTTAGTTTTTTTATCTCTTAAGTTTAAATCAAATAGTATAATTTAACCTATTATTATATATTGTTTTTAAAATAACTATCATTTCGTTATAATATTTTCATTATTCATTAAATTTTATACAATAAAATTTAACTAGTGATATTTTTTTAAATTATAGGTTTCTGATATAACTTTCAAATTTTAAAAAATAAAATTACAAAAAAGGTTATTTTTCTCATCAATTGTAGATATTAAGAAATAAAATTTTAATAATAAAGATAAATTCATAAAAAATAAAAACTAAATTTATAATTCAACCTTTATATTATATATACTATATACCATCAATAAAAGAATAATAATCATAATATTATTGACTAACAACAAAAGCACTTTTGAATATCCAACAAATTGCCAAATCATAACCCCTTTGTGTCAGAAGCTCAGAAAGAAATTGCCAAAAATATATATATTTTAATATTTTTATAAATTTGATTACAATTAAAATAATTTTTTATTAAATTAATTTTACATAAAAACAGTTTAATTTACTTTCTGCAAAATATAAATTACATATAAACATCATGGTAGTTAATGATTCAAAAATATTAGTTAATGTAATAAATACTTTCTGTAGTTTCAACCGATTGTGACTTTAATTTTTCATTTATATCTCTGAACTATCTGTTGACCCAATTTATTGACATTTTTTCTATTCATATTTTATTTTATGTTTCAAGTTTACTTAAAAAATTACCAACATTTATTAAAAAAAAACAAGAATAGAAGTTGACTATTGTTTTGTTTATTGTTTTAAAGCTAACAAAGGTTAGTAAAATAAATTATTTTTTTAAATTAATTACCTTCCTAAGAAATATCACATTCAAAAAATTAAATTAGCATGTTTTTAATGAACATATATTTAACTTAATAATATATATATATATATATATATATATATATATTTAAAGTTCTTGGTTTTGTTAAATTTAATCTATAAAAATAAGTTACTTATTTTTTTAAATAATTTATATGAAAAGTGTTTAACTTAACTTCTCATTGTAAGAATAATAATGAAAAGAAAAATCATTTTGTAATAATACTAATAAAAAGTATATTTAATCAAAAAGCACCACATTACAGTGTCTTACACTATTATTTATATTAATTACTTAAAAGATTAAGATAAGCTTTTTAATTTATTAAAATAAAAATAAAAATACATTCACCATATATGAAGTTTAAATTCTCGATAACTAGTATAACATTTATTTATTTTTTAAACTTTAAGAAAAGTGATTTCAGTTTAAGATAGAAATAACTATAAACTCAATAAACACATGGAATCTTCAACTTGTCTAATGTGAAATTTAGAAAGAAAAATACGATTTGTAACAAAAAAAAAAGACAACATATTCTTCTATGTTGGAATAAATTTTACAACTTTATAGATTAGTTTCTTAATTTAAAGAGTATCCGAACATTGTCATCAAACATTTTCCACACAACTTTTTCAACCATCTCACATTTTATTCTTATTTAAAAATTACACAAACAATTACTCAAACACACAAAACATGGAATCATATCTAACATTAAAAAAAAAAAAAATGTTACCCAAAAGACCAGTTAACACTAATTTCTTCTTAAAACATTCCTCAAAAGAAACAAAAAACCAGAAATGCTAATGGTGGAGTGTGGATCCCACCACCACAAACAGGAACCACCCATGCCTAACCTTTTTTTTTTTTTTTTTTCTTTGCCTTTTCCTTCTTCTTACATTGCATAATAATGTGAGTAATAAAATTGTATTCCACAGTGACACAAAACTTTTGTACTCTCTGTAGCCACACATGATGCTGATGATGATGCAGATGATGTATATATAAATCACAATTCACAAGACACCACACCCTTAAACTGAAGAAAAGGTGAAGGAAGGGAGCACCCAGAGGGGTTCACGGCTTCACTTTCACATCACCAAACAAACTCATCTCATCTCATCACAAAGTCTTGAGCTTCAATCTCTTTCCTTCTGCTTCCTTTTTCCCCTCTCTGCATTTATTTTCTTTTGGACTTTTCCACTCATGCACCCTCCAATCCCCTCTATTTAACCTCTCTATCTCCTACCCCTTCATCTCTCACATACTTCACACACTCATAAATACATAATTAACCTCTTCATTATTTCTTCTTCTTCTCCTTCTTCCAACATGGGTGGCATCAGCCTAGAAGAGATAAAAAACGAGAACGTCGATCTGGTACTTCTTCTGCTACTTCTTCTTTTCTGTGTACCCTTTTGTTTTTTCATGAAATTTCTATGTCCCTTTTGTTTCTTTTATGGAATTTCTATGTACCCTTTTGTTTGTTTATGAAATCTCTATCTACCCTTTTGTTTTTCTATCCTCTATGTATCATTTTCTTTCTCACAATTTCTGTGGGTGATTTTCTTCTTAATTTCATTTCCTCCTTTTTTTTCATTGAAAATATTTGAACTTTACTTTTATAAGCAATAATTCCTTAATCAATTAATCAAGTATGGAAAGAAAACACACAGTTGTATTTTCAAATTTGTTTTTTTTTTTCATAATTTTAACCGATTAAATTTTCTGACAAAAATGGGTTTTGGTCACTAATACTCATCTGACAGAAGTTTGAACATGTAATATTAACTTTTCTTGTGGCGTCAATTGTGTACTTTTAAAAGAATCCTTCTTTTTTGTCTGAAAATTCACGAGTTCTGAATGATACTTTAATTTGCAGTCACATATCCTTTCTGTTCCTCCTCCAAACTCGATGAAATAGAAAAAAAAAAAGCTTTTATGACAGTTATCTCTATGAGCTGGATATTCTAACAGTGTACTGGAAGAAGCTTTAGATTCTCAGAACAAAAAATTATTAATTAATTTTTTTAATTAATGATAATTTAATACATAAGATTGCATATGATTAATTATCTTTTCAATGATTCAGATAAATTCTCTGGTAGTTTACGTACTTTTGAACAAGTACTTTTGGGTATACGTGTTTTGTACGTATTTAAATGAATACATGAAAAATGTATGTGGAAATTTGTTAGGATATACGAAATTGGGTGAATACCTACTGTAGGGAAATTGCTAATTTGTGACTACCAAAATACGTCATTTGTAATTAGTGGTGTGACCTTCTTTGCATAGTCAACAAAAATCGTTTTCTTTTTTGAATTCTTATCATATCTTTCAATAACTTTTATTTTCCAACGTTGAAAATTTCTACAAGTTTTTAATTATTATTGGTTCACAATTAATTACACATGACTATCACTTGTTTGGTTTCAGTACAATTTCGTACTTATTATTGGTTACAAATAATTCAAAATAGTGAAAAAAATTAAATAATTTTTCAGTCTTTTAAAATGATGTTTCTAATTTTTTTTAATTAATTGTACATTCTTAAAACATTTTCTAGAAATTAAAGATACTATCTTGAAATAATATTACTAAATCGTATTTTTCATCTTCATGATCAAACGATTTCAGTATACCAAATTTAATATATTTTAAGTGAAAAAAAATTAAAATGGTATTACCTATTAATATGATTGAAATTGAAATATCAAAGTCTATATTTGTTTTACCAAAAAATCAATTAAATAAAATAAAATAATAGGAAATAGGGTTGTTGTGACGATGTTTTCGTCTACAGGGGAAAGAAAAATGATTTCTTAACTCTGAGAAATCGGCACCGTACGATGGTTAATGGCCGCAAATAACGACTAGAAATAGTTGTTGTTTCTTCATGCACGGCACGCTTCTATGTTTTCTGTTACAGTTGAAAATTCTATGAAATTTTCTTCTGCTGAGGTTGTTCGTTGTGGTATATAACACGTGTCGCTTTTTCAAGTGTGTAAAAATGATTCCTCCGAAACAAGAATATGTTAAATGAAATAAAGAAAAGGGAAACATTCGACTTTAATTCAAGTGAATGAAATTAGACACTTTAATTTAAATTCAGGGTACAAACATTTGCTTTATACATTTCTTTTATACTCTATTATTATATTTGATTTTTTCTTTATTATTTCGAAACACATATTCATTTGTTCATGTTTTTAATGAATATGACTCTAGTATCTTTTATGTTTTTGATGGAGTGGTATTGAAGTTTTTTATTTAATTTGTAATTTTTTGTTTATAATTTTTTTATTTAAATTTTAGCTAATATAATACTTTTAAATCAAATAAAAATAATAAATACACTTTCTTAAAATTGATACCTATATTTTGTTCTTATTATTATTTCACCCATATATATGAACTAAAATATAAAGCAAGATGAGAACATGAATAATATTTTATTTGATAATTTTTCATATTGTTTTATTTTACTTTTTGTGGCAAAAAGGAATCGAATACACTTTGAGTGTGAAACTCTGCATCTTGAATATGGTCATCACATGTTTTTTAATAGATTTTTAAATCTAACCCAATTAGAGTTCAATTTGTCATTGGATTCCAAGAATCTACGTTATAGATATAATTTAGTTTTAACCTCACAAAGATGTTTTAATTGTTTTTTGTTTTCGGTTGAATAATTTTGCAATTAAAATTAACCAGTCATTATCATCCCTAGAATTTTAATCAAATGCATATTAAAAAAATAATGGTATCAAGATTGGGTTAAATTTTATATTAACTTATATTCTTATTTTTCAAATTTTATTTTAAGGAAAATTTTAAAAATGAGTAATGTTACACAACTACATTCGGGTATGCAAGAACATTTTTTCCCAGTTAACACCAAATTATTTTTTAGAACTATATTTAATTTTTTTAGCAAAAAAATTCCATGATGAATATCATAACCATAACCATTGTTTTAAAATTATTAGTAGCAGTGAAGGTGGTTCAGTGAAAGAGCAAAATGAAATTCTACGTATGATTTGTAAAACATTTTTGTGCATGCTGGTAAGTGTTTTGAGGAAAAACAATGTTTGAAATTAACCTTGTTCCCAGGAACGCATTCCAATAGAGGAAGTGTTTGAGCAGCTGAAATGTTCAAGAGCAGGTCTAACATCAGACGAAGGGGCCAACCGGCTCCAAGTCTTTGGACCAAACAAATTGGAAGAGAAAAGAGTATGTTTTTCACAAACTCACAGATTGCAGTTTATGTTTTTTCTCCTTCATTAGATGCATGTGGGTGATGATGTCTTGATGTGTGATGAAACAGGAGAGCAAGTTTTTGAAATTCTTGGGCTTTATGTGGAACCCTTTGTCTTGGGTCATGGAAGCTGCTGCTATCATGGCCATTGCTTTGGCAAATGGAGGAGGAAGGCCACCAGATTGGCAAGATTTTGTGGGAATCATTGCTCTGCTAGTGATAAACTCCACAATCAGTTTTATTGAGGAAAACAATGCTGGCAATGCTGCTGCTGCTCTTATGGCTGGTTTAGCCCCCAAGACTAAGGTTTTCATCTGATCCTTAAACTTTTTAATAGAGCTAATGCTCAACTTGGTCCCTAAAAGTTGCAACTGTTATTATTTTTGGTCCTCAAAGTTTGACTGCTAATGAGTTAAAGACAAAACTTGGATACAGTTTCTTAGGTGTTTTTGGTGTTGCTATGTATAAAAATAGTTTCACCTCAGTGATTTGTGTAAGAAAGCTTTGCATTAATGTCTACATAGATTGCTGAGATGAAACTCCAATTCTGATTAAAGAACAGTATCAAAAGTACTTAAATAATTTTAAGTTTTGTACGTAAGTTTATCTGACTAAGCTGTCAACCTGTAAACGATTTCAGTGTTTTGAAGGACTAGTTTGTATATATGAAAACAATCAAGGCCAGAACAAAACTAGTTGCCATTTTTGGAGACCAAATTATATATTAACTCCTCATTGATTCATGTGCATGCATTATTTATGGTACCATTTTTTAAAACCAATGTTTGTTAGAACTTCTGTTGCCTCAAATTTTAGGTACTACGGGATGGCAGATGGAGTGAACAAGATGCTGCAATTTTAGTACCAGGAGACATAATCAGCATCAAGTTAGGAGATATCATTCCGGCTGATGCTCGTCTTCTTGAGGGTGATCCTTTGAGTGTTGATCAGTCTGCTTTGACTGGAGAATCTCTTCCCGTGACAAAGAATCCCTCAGATGAAGTATTTTCGGGATCAACGGTTAAGAAGGGAGAGATTGAAGCAGTTGTGATTGCTACTGGAGTGCACACCTTTTTTGGAAAAGCAGCACATCTGGTAGACAGCACCAACCAAGTTGGACACTTTCAGAAAGTGCTCACAGCAATTGGTAACTTCTGCATTTGCTCTATTGCTATTGGAATCATCATCGAGCTCATAGTCATGTACCCAATTCAAGGCCGCAAGTACAGGGATGGAATTGACAATCTGTTGGTGCTCTTGATTGGAGGAATCCCCATTGCCATGCCAACTGTGTTGTCTGTCACTATGGCTATTGGTTCTCACAGGCTTTCTCAGCAGGGTGCCATCACAAAAAGAATGACAGCTATTGAGGAAATGGCAGGGATGGATGTCCTATGCAGTGACAAAACTGGGACTCTAACTTTGAATAAGTTGAGTGTTGATAGAAACTTGATTGAGGTGTTTGCTAAGGGTGTTGAGAAAGAATATGTTATCCTTCTAGCAGCCAGGGCATCCAGGACTGAAAATCAAGATGCCATTGATGCTGCAATTGTTGGCATGCTTGCTGATCCAAAGGAGGTATATATACCAAAATCTAACTCTTTCGTGTAAGAAAAAGAAACTTGAGTTTGGGATATAAGTAAACTCTAATTTGATGTTCTGATTGATCAGGCACGTAGTGGTATTAGGGAGGTACATTTCCTTCCATTCAATCCTGTGGACAAGAGGACTGCACTTACCTATATTGATTCTGATGGAAATTGGCATAGAGCTAGCAAAGGGGCTCCTGAGCAGGTAAATATGAGTTTCGTTGGTACACTCTTTTGATGTATTTTGGAAGATGACAAAATAGTGTTTTTCTCCTGCTTCAGATAATAACCCTTTGCAACTGCAAAGAGGATGTCAGAAAAAGGGTTCATGCAGTAATTGATAAGTTTGCTGAGCGTGGACTTAGGTCTTTAGGTGTTGCAAGACAGGTAAGCAAAGCTGTCAACCCTGTGTCTTATTTTATGTTTGATTAGAAATGAATACCCTTCTTTCATTGACAGCTTATATGATCTGTGAAACAGGAAGTACCTGAAAAAACAAAAGATGGTCCAGGTGGACCATGGCAATTTGTTGGTCTGCTACCATTGTTTGATCCTCCCAGGCATGATAGTGCTGAAACCATTAGAAGAGCTCTTAACCTTGGTGTGAATGTTAAGATGATTACTGGTAGGATTTGAAGTCATGTTTTATTATAGCTGGAACTGTATAATGAAAGCCTGTAGCTCTGACTTGCTTTTGGCTCATTCGTTCTGTAGGGGATCAGCTTGCCATTGGAAAGGAAACGGGCCGAAGGCTCGGAATGGGGACAAACATGTACCCTTCATCTGCATTGCTTGGCCAAGACAAGGATGCCTCTATTTCAGCTCTTCCAGTTGATGAGTTGATTGAGAAGGCTGATGGATTTGCAGGAGTATTTCCTGGTAGGTCCTTTAAATTTAGATGTAAGCAGTGTATGACTTCAATGTTATGATGATAGTAGTAAGGATGACCAATCATCAACTTCTTGTCTCTTTCAACTATTTCAAACACCCTTTATTTTTCCATGATTTCTAAGTTCTCTGCTAGTATTGAAACTGCTATGTTTACCAACAATGTAATTATGTTTCAAATTGAGCACGCTACAAGTGTTTTAATCCTTTTTCTCTTTGTATGATATTGTAGAGCACAAATATGAAATTGTTAAGAGGCTGCAAGAGAGGAAGCATATATGTGGAATGACAGGTGATGGTGTAAACGATGCCCCTGCATTAAAGAAAGCAGATATTGGAATTGCTGTTGCTGATGCCACAGATGCTGCTAGAAGTGCTTCTGATATTGTCCTCACTGAACCTGGCCTCAGTGTCATTATTAGTGCAGTGCTCACCAGCAGGGCAATTTTCCAGAGGATGAAGAACTATACTGTTAGTTTCCTTGCATCCCGGATTAACTATTTGGCTTTGTTTTAGCCTTTTTAGTTGTGTAATATCTAAAAATTCGCGTGTGAAACAGATCTATGCTGTGTCAATCACCATCCGTATTGTGGTAAGTGCTGAAATTGGCTTGATATAAACAAATTGTCAATTTTTTTCTTCATACCTCTGTAATTGAATCATAAACTAACGTGGTTTATTTTTTATTTGGTAGTTTGGTTTCTTGTTTATTGCGTTGATCTGGAGGTTTGATTTCGCACCCTTCATGGTTTTGATTATTGCCATACTAAATGATGGTAAGATAACATTCTCTTGGTTTTCATGATGTTTTGCTTTTTTCTTTTCTGCTAAAATGTTTAAACTGATTTCATTATACTACCATGTGTTTAGGTACCATCATGACTATATCAAAGGATAGAGTGAAACCATCTCCACTTCCTGATAGCTGGAAACTGAGGGAGATATTCGCTACTGGCGTTGTGCTAGGCAGCTACTTGGCACTAATGACAGTGATATTTTTCTGGGCAATGAAAGATACCAACTTCTTCTCGGTAAATAATTTGTATTTTCTGTTTCCTCTTTACCTGTTTGATCTTCAACTTGTTGAAAATCAAGATCTATGAGCACAACTTTCACTCTTGCAGAACAAGTTTGGTGTGAGGTCGCTGAGAAATAGCCGTGAGGAAATGATGGCAGCTTTATACCTGCAAGTCAGTATAATAAGCCAGGCTCTAATCTTTGTCACAAGGTCCCGCAGTTGGTCTTTTGTTGAAAGACCAGGTCTTCTCCTACTAGGAGCTTTTCTGATTGCTCAGTTGGTAAGATTGAACCACCTATTCTCTCATCAGCAATGTTAAATGAACTTGTTTTTTAGTTGTCTGATTTTAGTATTTTTGTGTGATCTGAACCCACCTCACCTACTAAGATAAGACTTTGTTTTTGATCATGCTGTCGTCTAATCTTAGTCTTGTAGAAGCATCATTTTGTTGTGTTTAGAGATGTAGTATGCACATATTCCTCTCCAAAACAACCAAAAGGAAAAGAAAAAAGATCTTCCACTAAATGCAAATGATTGTTTAGTTTTCTTGGCTTTATTTGGTGGTAACAATAACTTGTTCTGTAATTGACAGGTGGCAACTTTTATAGCAGTATATGCCAACTGGGGCTTTGCAAGAATAAAGGGAATGGGATGGGGTTGGGCTGGTGTAATCTGGCTTTTCAGTGTGGTAACCTATATCCCTCTTGATTTTCTCAAATTTGCAATCCGCTATATTCTAAGTGGGAAGGCTTGGGACAATCTTTTGGAGAACAAGGTATGTTCTTTCCATTTTCTCCTGTTTAACATCTGTTGCATTCTTGATCTAGTCCAGAGGTATATTCATATCATATTCATGTTCCCTCATCACAGACTGCTTTCACCACAAAGAAAGACTATGGTAAAGAAGAGAGGGAAGCTCAATGGGCGGCTGCACAGAGGACACTTCACGGTCTTCAGCCACCAGAAACTTCCAACCTTTTCAACGACAAGAATAGCTACAGAGAGCTTTCAGAGATTGCAGAACAAGCCAAGAGACGAGCTGAAGTTGCAAGGTAAGCCATGAAGTTATATAATTATACTTCCTCTGGACGCATATATAAACAGAAGAGAATCATCAAATCATTTCCAATAAATATGACTAAGGCTAATTTAGAAAATGTACTATTTTTGCTATGAAACATTCATTTCTTAACTTTTGCTTATATATGAGTGCATAAGAAGTATATCAGATTCAGATAGTGCTTGAAAAGGTTTTACAATTTTCGTATAATGTGATCATTGAAAACTACTCTTTGCAATGTACTGCTAATAATAAATAGAGTGGAATCTTCTCAGCTGTGAGACCCATGTTCATTTATGGGATTCACATGAGGTTCACTGCATGATAAAAGTTGTGCTGAAAAGAGTGCCTGAGAGTAGGTGATGCTAGATTTTTTAATGTGTGATACTGAGGAATAATGAATGATATGTATGATGTGTTTCTAACAATAATTGGAATTGTATCACAGGCTTAGGGAGCTTCATACTCTAAAGGGACACGTTGAGTCAGTGGTGAAGCTGAAGGGGCTTGACATTGACACAATTCAGCAGCACTATACAGTTTAAGGAGCTTGGGCAAGCTTCAAAAAGAATCGGTTCAGTGCTTTTTTTGAGAACAAAAATCACATATAATGACGAAGAAAGACTCAAAGACCATGCTCAATCTGTGTTTTGAGTCACATAAGAAAATGAGTCTTGTGAAAATTTGAATGGTCTGTCTCCTTTTCTAGGATATACTATTCTCTTTACGTATCAAATAACATAATTGGTGGGGTTTACTATCATCTTTTTACCTGGTAGTATGCTAGTGTTATTGCTTACTAAGATCATAAACTAAAAGCTCAATACATTGGTATTGATATAGTTGCTCATTATCTCAATATGTGGTTGTTGCAGTATCAGATAAAAATGAAGTACATGCTTCACTAATTGAATTGAACAGAACTTAGAAGCGCTATGTTGGTATAAGTATGGATAATCTAAATATAAGTTAAGTTTCATATTATATAAAAATATATTAAACAATATATAAAAAAATATAACTCGTAATCAAATATCTTCAAATTTTAGATTTGAATCAAGAAATTCAACTTATGTTTTATTAATGTGTCTCTCTTATTAAAAAAAAAGTTAATAAGTATCCATTTTCATTTTTAGGTATTATATGAAGGTTTTGTACTTTAAGACTAGGAATAAAATGTTAAACATTATGAATTAACTTCACGAAAAAGTTAGAAAAATTTGAAAGAAGAAATTGAGAATTTTCTGAACATAAACATGGTTAGTGGCTATGTTGTTCAACTTATAATAATGTTATGGACATAGCTGACAACTATAAAGAATCACGGCGGAAATAAGAGGACGAGTTTGAAAATTTGGTAATAATGAAAATGAATAATTTTATAATAATGTAGTACAACGATTATTAAATTGTTGATGGAAATAGAAAATTAAAATCAGAAATATAATTTTTTTTCACCCATTATTTACTATATATTATGGAGATGAAATACATTATGAATTGATTTCTAACGATGAAATACATTACATGTATTATTTAAAACAGTATAAATTGAGTTAAATTCATTGTTTCATGATTAGAATTTGATAAGACCGAACATACTTATCTTTTCATATGTTATTAAATAAATATCTTAAATCACATTTTTAAATCGATTTTTATATGAAGATGATAAAACTTAAATACCTAATTAGACTCACATCACCTTAATTACACGTTGGGAATTTAATTATGTTCATTTTGTTTTTTTTCTTTAAATGTTACATATATATTTTAATAAAAAATAATTATTTGAATATTTTCAAATAATATTTTCCTTAACAAACTATTTATGGAAATATGAGTATCATTGTTTTTAATCCCTGCAAAAGCATTTTGTCAAATTTAGCTTCCACATCTTTGAATATTTGACTATAGTTAGTTTAACATTAAAAACAAAGAATATTAATCAGCAAAATCAATATAATATATAATATTTAAATTAGGATAATTATATTTTTTTCAGGTACGTAATTAAATTAACTAATATATTAATTATTCGGCATAAAAGGTAATTATACGTATTAATTTTATTATTTTATTCAATTATTTATTTTTCACATTATATTTTTATTAAAAATAATTTTGATATTATAATATTGAATCATCATAAAATATTTTTAATATATCATAAACAAGTATATTATCTCTAAAATTATGAAATATATTTTATATTCTTAGAATTATCAATTATGATAAATTTAAATTATATATATCCTAAACAATTTAAAATTAATATGAAATAATTTACTTAACTTTCTCCAACTATTTTCCTGTCTTATTTTAGTCTTTGTAATTTTTTAAAATATAATTTTAATATATTATAATTTGAAATTATAATATTACGAAACATATTTATAATTTGTTTAAAGATAAAATCTTGTTATGATATATTTGTCAGAAAAGAAATTATTATATATCAAAATTAATATATAGAAAATTAATTATAAGCATATAAGTAAATTACAATTATTTTAATTAAGAATACGATGTTAACAAATAAATTATTGAAAAAAAAGTATATATATATATATATATATTATAATTTGTATATTAAATAATAAATAATTAGATTATGTGTGTAAAAATTTAATTATCTGAATTTTAAATATTTTTTATTATCATAATTATATTAATATTTTTTATTTCTTGCACCAAGGCAAGATGAAAATTATTTTTAGCCGAACTAAGGAGATTTTTAGTTAAAAAAAAAAAATTGACGTCTAAAGATAAATTTTATTTTATTTTTTAAAATTTCTTTCCTCTTAATTAATAATTCATTATTTTATTTCAAATTCCCACTCAATTTTCATTATATAACACAAACTACTTTTGTTCAGAACACACGTTACGTTTTTCAAGCTCAGAAGATTCCAGGTTCATAGGGTTTACACTCCAACCTTGTCGGTGAGTATCAAATTTTTTTTTTTTCATTGTTTCATCGATTGTTTGAATTTTTGGGAAATTGTTCAAATTGTTACCACCGTTTATCAAACTTATTTTATTTTTCTTATGAATACATCAAATGTACGCACTTAGGTCTTCCAAATAACCGCAGATTCAGGTTAATCCATGGCCACTGAACCAAAAACAGCCACCGAGGATGTCAAGATCGACCTCTTCGAAGACGATGATGAGTTTGAAGAGTTTGAGATCAACGAAGGTAAATCATTCTTAGTAACTCTCTCTGTATCTGGATTTTCCATGCAAATCCAGGTTACACTGTTTCAATTTCAATTTTGTTCCTTGCATGTTTTACATTTAGAATCGCCTATATGACGTCGTTTTGATCCATAATAAAGCATCAAATTTAATGCCTCACTGGTGACATTCGTTAGTTTACTGAATCGAAAGACAGGCGATGGAATGGAATGATATATGGACGACTAAATCTATTATGAATTTTGAGATGTTTCTTTATTTAATTAATCAATTTAGGAGATTCCACATTTGAAGGGTGTAGAGTAATCAGCCATTTTACTTTTTATTTCTGCCTTGAGTGAGAATTGGATAAATAATTAAGAAAAATCAATAAGAAAAAAATAAACTTTCTATAAAATGTTGATAGGTATTAATTGAGAACCTAAGGAAAGAGTAAACCTTTCCTATTTTAGATTAGAGAAGTGAAAAACCCTTTGTTTGTTCTTTGATTTAGTGGTCGGTTAACATTGTACGGATTTCATTGCATGTCGTTGCACAATTTAGGGATTTTTAACAAATTTTCATTAAGGTACAATTTGTGTTATCTACTGTTTGATTTGTATTTGTGTTCTCTAATCTTACATGCACTTTTCTTTTTTATTTAATTTTCTTTCCTAACACTTCTCCAGGAGGTTTTTCTTATGCACCAAGGCTTTATTGATGAATAACCAAATGGACATTTATGCATTTACTTTTTGAGCTTAATAGATTTGCATGATTATTTGTTTTGCTTTTCATGGATCTATACCAATTTTGTGTATACCATGCTAAAGATCGCATGATCACATGATTTTGCAATTTCTAAACCAAATCTTGTGCAAGATCGAGCACAAAGACCCTTGCAAATTGTATTATTATTCATCACGATCTGTGCCATTTCACGTGTGATGCACACACTCTTCCATTCCATTCACTGCAGCCATCCTCGAGACAACTTCGTCCCATGCCTTGTTTTCTACTCCTGCAGTTATCCCTTGCATTCTCAGCAGCAAGAACCAATAATCTCTAGCTTGCTTCCACCATTGTGCTTCATCTCTATAGCTTGGGTTCAACCTTGCTTGTCTGTTCTGTTGTTTGCCTGTCTGTTCGGTTTTTGTACTTCTCCTTGTTTGCTTATCTGTTCTGTTGTTGTGGTGCCTCTTCTACTCTATGCAATATGAAACTCCTCTTTTTTTTTCCCTCTACTTTGATTTATTGTGATTCTAAGTTAGACTTTCTGACTTTGATTTGTTTACACTTTTAGAACCTATCTTTGTTATTTTATGTCTTTTTTTATTTCTTCCTAATTCTCCTAATTCTCCTATTTTAATGATTTTTTATTTTGATTTTGATTTTTTGACTTCTTTTGCAGGGTGTTAGGTTACATGAATATGAATTTTTGGTTGAATTTAGTTTAGTGTATCATTAACAAGATTTTTTTCTTACCTTTGTCATTTTTATGACATACTTTTGTGTCTTTTGGGAGGATGTTACAATCTGTATTACGAACTTTCATCCCCTCCTAGTCATGTGTAGGATCTTGATTTTCACAACATAAATGTGTACCAAGTGTGTGTTTTGGTATTGTGGTCGCAGTAGACTGATTATATTTCAAAAAGTGGGCTCTATATGATAAAAACCTATAAATTTAGGCTGCTTTCCTCTTTTAATATAACTATGATATATTTTAAAAAATTGTCTCCATCCTCTAAATTCAGGCAGTTTGCCTCTTGTATACAACAACTATAGGTTTGTTTGCAGTTGATTATTTAAAGAATTGGTTATTTAAAGAACCATCTGCAATACTTGGTTATTTCACACAAAAAAATAAACCACATAATTGGAATGCATTGAGGGCCACTTAGGGCAGGCTATTAAACCTTGTAATAACAGAAGCAATGCTGCGGGATAGATGGATTGGGTAAAAGTACTTCATTGCAATTTAACAATTAAAATGTAATAATTATAACATTGCAATCTGTAACTTCCCACGCTCTACAATTGCAGGTAAAATTTCAAGATGTACGTGTACAGCACACTCTAGCATAGAAGCAACACACACTATGTTCTTTTTGTTTTCTTAATTGCACCTAACATGAACTAGAGAACTCATGTTATGCATATTCCGTTCTGCTTTAACATGTTCACCTAACTCTACCATATTACATCGAGTTTGAGATGATGCTTTGGTCTGTGATGAGTAAGCTCTTCATGCTGTTGATCTTGTTTCTAGTTAGCAATTGTGCAGATTTTAAGATTTATGTAATTGCTTCAATTATTTTAATTTATTTTCTCTCTATTTCCGGTGATGTTATTTGGATTAGAAACTGCTTATTCAACTTGATTTGTCGGGGCCTTGGTGTCATTCTAATGTTTCTTCTTATTTCTGTTGCACTTTATTGTTTTACAACTGTCAGAGTGGGATGACAAGGAGGAAGGAAAAGAAGTTACTCAACAGTGGGAGGATGATTGGGATGATGATGATGTCAGTGATGATTTCTCTCTGCAGTTGAGAAGGGAACTGGAGAGCAACACTGATAAAAGTTAAACCCTGTTATAACTGAAAACTATGTCTTGGTAGGAAGGAAATGTAAGGCAACTGAACAGTTAATTTTTCTGTTCTTGAATATCTGTGTAGAAGTTATTGAGTGTTTGTACTTAAATTGTTTGGTGGCGTCTGGCTTTTAAGATTTTATTTACAACAGCAAATTAATAGCTTTTATTTTCATTTTGGGGTTGAGAGGGTGTGCTTGTTTATGAACAATTCTTTCTGCCCACTGGTTCCAAATACGAATTTACTAACAGAAGAATCAACATGAACAGAAAAGGCTGAAAAAAATTATCTAAGACATCATTATGTAAATAACTTCATGTACGTTCTACTAAAAGAATTTTAAAGAAGGCTATAATTCTTTCAATAAGCATAAATAACTTATGTTCAAACGCTCCAAGGTTTGACATTTTTTTGTGATAAAAATTTATCTGTGATTCAGTTTTAGTTTTCATCCATGAAACTGAACCAATTACAAGGAATTTGTATCATTTTGTATTATGCTTTACACAGACTACCTTTACATGATTTGATTTGAGATTGTAGTTTTTAAGAAAATTTTGAAGATTTGTTATTCATATCTATTGATGAAGTTTTATGAAATATTATTAGGCTAACTTGTCGTGGACAGAGTAAAAAAAGAGAAATTAAATTTGAGTTTAAAAAGATAGTGTTGGATAGAAGTGGACTGTGTAACCAAACTGATGTGGATAAAAATAGCAGATAAAAGTGAAATAAATGTTTCACTGCTCGAGTTGAACTGAAAGCGCCCAAATTCATGACTAATCTCTTTTGAAACTAGTGTAGAATCAGAATAATTTTCATCGTAATTGTATCAGTATCACCATTCTTCACTGGTATTAAACATTATTTATTAAATTCCAAAAAACAAACAAACAGATAGAAGAAATTGATAGAATTATTAGACAATGATCTGAACGTAGTCATGATTAGTGGCTCAGTTAACCATTGTGCAATCACGCCGGATTTCACCCTGGTTTCCTGTTTTAATCCCGATCCGTCCTAATTTTATCATAGCACTTACAAAATACGTTTCGAAGGCTGTGTTGTTGGATGCAAACAAGTTCACTATGCCTCTTGTTCTTTTATGAGTAAACAAAGCTTGATCAGAAGCGAGGAGTCCTTTTCCTTGCTGAAGATTCTTGTAGTATTGGTTATCAAATGTCCTTGGTGTAATTGGGTCCAAATCAACGGCTAATCTGGGGTCCACATTTTTTGGACACTTTTGTTGGAGATATTTTGCATACGCAGAATTAAGTGTATGATCAATGTTTTTCTTTCCGTTGAAGTTGTAAATCCGTTTGGAGAACTGACTGCAGTGGCAGAACCCAATAGTATGTGCTCCTGCAACACTCACTTCAATCTGGATTAGAATTTTGGGGATCAGGAAGCAAAATGGTATGCTCCGCCAATACTATGTCTCAGCGTTGTGCGTGTTCAGAAAGGCAGTTGCAGACTAACATCATATGATACTGTTGCCAGATAACTATACATTTCTTAAGTACATCATCAGATATTAGTTTCTGACTTTCGATTGATTTTGGCGAAACGAATGTTAAGAGAAGTAATTATGTTTGGAAACTGTTATCTTAAAAAGTAAGATTGTGATAAAGCTTGGTATAATTTTTTAATGCCAACATAAAACCAAACTAGTTGAATATTGATCAAAAGTACCATCTTAATTGCAAAACATATGTTTAAGCCATCCCAATGTATGGCTTAAACTCATGGATATAAAGCATGTAACATGTTCGTTATGAATGAGATACCTGATAGAGCAACTAGATCCGTAAGAGTGAGTCCATGTGAAGCAAACATACGGTTCAGTTGTTCTAGTTTGAAATCAGGATGAGGTATTTGGTGTTCAACACTGGCTTTTGTTGAGATTCTCCCATCTAGCCTTCCCAATTCTACTGCATAAGATGGTCCTCCTGCCTGAAACCAAGTGAATGTTAAACATAATTTCCACATAAAATATTATAAAGACAAATCAAAAGAAATAGGATACTCTATATATGGGATTCTAATCATAGCATAAAATACTTATCTTAATTACATGAATCGCATGACATCATTTGCCTACTGAAAGACGAAATCTTGAAAAATGTCCTCTATGATCTCCCTTTTCTTTCATTACATGAGGATAAAAACTACGTAATCTACTCTTCTTACTTGTGTCTCTAGTGTCCTTCTTTGTACGTGTCAACCTCATTAATTTTCTGCCATTCTTTTCTTAACGATGCTAATTCTTAGTAAAATATCTTTAATTCTAGTGCTGTTAATTATTATATTTACAACTGGTATACTAGGATTGAACTTACTTTAAGTTTATGAATTTTGATTAGAAGCTGTATTGCAAAAGCTATTGCTTATTTTACCAATGCTACAACATCCCTAGTTGCCATTGCCAATATGTCAGCACATGAAACCTTATTCTGGCAGCCAGGTACACTGTCCACTGCAGCCTTGGCTTTGATCACAGTGTCAAACCCATCACCAGCTAGTGAAAGATTTATAGGATTATCCTTCTCAGATGTTTGGTTTCTTGAAGCCAGTATCACAGAAGCATCACACCCCTGTCAACATGCACAAAAATAGTAACACCTATTGCCAAAGAGGTGCATGCAAAGGAAAACAAAAGAGAGAGATTAAGTTATAGTAATTCTGACCATAACAAAACAATCATGGAAGAAAAGCCTAAGTGTAGCAGGAGCTGTCGCAAGTGTTTGCTGAAGTTTCATTTCAACTGCTCTTCGAACAATTGATTCAACATTTGGACATGTGTTTTTGTAGTAATCAACTCGAAGTTCAGCATGACAACCAGCTATTAGCAGAAGAAGAAACAAGTTAGCAGGCAAAATGAGGCTCTGGGAACTCATTTTCCCTTTGTGGTGGTTCTAGTGTCTGGCACATTACATTTGGTTTAGTGCTTCCATCCTTAAATAGTCAAAGGAGAAACAAATCTCTCTCTCTCTCTCTCTCTCTGTGTTTTGAAGAATCCAATGTGTTAAATTTGAAAGAAACAAACAAGAGTACACACCAAGAAGAAATACTTTTGGAAAAGTTTTCTGTATTTTTACAATATCTGACTAAGCACTCACTGTAATGTTCATATTATAACGTGTTGAAGAGGATGCATGAAAACTGTAGGAATGGGTAAACAACTTGTTTATTAAAAGTGCGCCTAGTTTATACAAAAAGTTAGTTGGTCCCTCACATAGTGTATTGATGCTTTTCTATATTTTACTTCTGAAGTTGGATCCCTGCAAGAAGTGAGATGGTGGCTGTATACACACAAATCTCAAATGTTGCAATTTGGACAATGATTTACGTAAGTACTTTTATATTGTTCTTTTCTCATGTATAGAGCATATGATATCCACTTTGAGTATTTACTTTATTTGGTTATTTACAGCACCAAGTCCTATCCATTGCTCCATACAAAGCTGACTCAAATGAATGGAAGAATATCACGCTGTACTTAGCCATGTGTTCCCCACCATGTCCTTATTCTTTTTGTTTCGGTCACACATTCTAGTCTGCAGTTTTCTTCACATGCTCGAGAAGAAATGCGCGCAAGTTTTGCTCCTACAAAATAAGCTTTTTACACAAAATTGAAACTTTGTTGATTTTATGTTATCGACGTAAAAATTGCTTTTTATTTTCTCCCTTATGTCGATGAGGATCATTTTTGCAAACATCGACAAAAGTGATTTCAGGAACATGTTTGAGAGCATTTTCCAATCTTGCGACAGCGTTGTGATTCATTTATGGTGATGAATATTTCTCTTTAGTTGAAAAATTTGGACATTTATTTTACTAATGAGATTAATGTTCTATGTTTGTATTTTTTTTTTAAAATTAAATCTGTGATTACGTTTTGACATTCTAATGAATGTCTTTATTATTATTAAAATTGAAACCGTGCTTGTATTTGTTAGTTTTTAATTTACTCATTGCTTTTTTGTTTTTAATTTTAAAATTTATTTATATATGAATATTAACGTGTATTTTAGTATTTGATTATATATATAAAAGAGGTAGTTATGTGCTTAAAACAAGTGAGTGGTCTTTGCGCATTGTAATAATATATATTAGAAGCTATTAAAAATAAATAATTTTGTAATTAGCTGGAAGTTAGAAGTATAAATAGACCTATTGTATATTTTGGAAGGTAGAAATGAAATCCAGTCAGTTGAGTTTTCCTTTATTCTTTTTATATGAATTGTGACTGAGTTCCCTCTATACTCTGTTTGAGTTGTGAGTGAGTAAGAGTTTTGAATCTTGACATTGGTATCAAAAAGCTGGGTACGTTGGGACAATGGTGATAGTTAAGGAACTTGAAGCGCGTATGGAATCCTTTGAGAAATCATTCATCATGGCTCAAGATTCAACGAAAGAAACGCTAGATTCTTTCCAGAAATCTATCGACACTATCGTATCTTCACTTGCGACATGGAATGGTGGGCAAAAGATCATAATTCAAGATGACCTGGAAGGTGCGTCTTCCAAATCTGTGATTGAAAGAGCACAAATCCAATTTCCTTCATTTGATGGTACAAATTTCCGTGAATGGCGAGCAAAGGTAGAACAATTTTTTGAGTTGGAATCCACACCAGTTCATCAACGTGGCAGATTGCTTTTATTATCAATGGATGGAAAAGTTTTTTCGTGGCAACGCCATTACATGCAGCAAACGTCTTTCAAGAACAAGTCTTGGGAACAAATTCTTCAAGATGTGACATACCGATTTGATGATAGTTGTTTTGATGATCCAGTAGCTGAGATTTCAAGATTGAAACAAGAAGGTGAATTGATCGAATATCTGGAAGCATTTGATTCCTTATTGTCGAACCAACCCAACTTCCAATCACGAGGAACTGTGATCACAAAATTCAATTGACAACTAACACTCCTGTATTTTCAAAGCCCTATAGATATCCTCATGTACAGAAAGAGGAAATTGAGAAACAAGTACAACAGTTACTTTCAACTGGTTTATCAGAGAAAACAATAGTTCTTATGCATCTCCTCTAGTGTTGGTCAAAAAGAAGGATGACTTGTGGAGATGTTGTACTGACTTTAGGAAGTTAAATGCTATCACCATCAAGAATAAATTTCCTATACCACTTGTCGAAGATCTTCTAGATGAGTTAAATGGAGCTTGTTATTTTTCAAAGTTGGATCTCAAAAGTGGATATCATCAAATTAGAATGGCTGAAGAAGATATTTGCAAGACTGCATTTAGAACACATAATGGGCATTATGAATGGGTTGTACTTCCTTTTGGTTTATGCAATGCTCTAGCAACCTTTCAGTCCCTCATGAATGATATATTCAGGAAGTATTTAGGAAGTTTATATTGGTGTTTTTTGATGATATATTAGTTTATACAAGGACTTGGCCAGATCATTTAAAGTGTTTAACAATTACATTGCAGATTTTGGAGGAGAATAATTTGGCCGTGAATTTTAAGAAATGTAGCTTTGGGAGGAAGACAATTGAATACTTGGGACATGTGATAACTATGAATGGAGTTCAACCGGACCAAGAAAAAGTCTCTGCAATTCAACAATGGCCTAGCCCAACTAATGTCAAGGAACTCAGAGGGTTTTTAGGTCTTTCGGGATATTATAGGAGATTTATCTTGAATTATGGGAAAATTACAGCACCTTTAACAGAGTTGTTGAAGAAAGACTCGAAATTCAACTGGACTCCACATACTGAAACATCATTTCAATAGCTCAAGAATTCATTAGTTTCTAAGCCAGTCTTGAGGTTACCTGACTTTCAAAAATCATTTACAATTGAGACAGATGCATCTGGGGGAGGTATTGGTGCAGTTCTCCTCCAAGAGGGTCATCCGATTGCTTATATAAGTAAGGCTATGGGACCAAAGTACAAGTTGTTATTCGCTTATGAAAAGGAATTTTATGTAGTTCTATTTGCAATAAAAAAATGGCAACACTATTTGTGGGGAAAACATTTCATTATTAAAACTGATCAGAAAGCGCTACAACAATTATTATTACAACCACCTACAACTTTGATGCAAAATTGGGGATTACAGAAGTTAATGGGTCTTAATTTCAGTATTGAATACAAAAAGGGAAAAGATAATCAAGTAGCTGATGCATTGTCTAGAGTGGAGATGCAAGGAAGTCTAGCTGCTATATTGCACTTATCTACGTAGTTAATGACAGAAGCTATTCACTCTTGGAAATATGATACAAAATTACAAAAGTTAGTTGATAAATTGAGGTTAGTTCAACATCCTTTAAAGCACTATACTTTTAAAAAGGACATATTGAGAAGAAAGGGAAAAGTGGTGGTTGTATGTCAGCCAAACCTCAAAACGAGGATTCTCAGTTTTTTTCATAATTCAGCAATAGGAGGTCACTCAGGTTTTGATTTAACATATAAAAGAATTAAGGAGCATTTTTACTGGAAGGGTTTACAGCGAGAAGTTAAGAATTGGATTAAGGAGTGTGAGACATGTCAAAGGTTCAAGCCAATAAATCAATTACCAGCAGGACTTTTACAACCATTACCTATTCCTCTTAGGGCATGGAAGTCAATTTCTATGGACTTTATTACCGGCTTGCCTAAGTCTAATGGGATGAGTATTATATTAGTAGTCATTGATAGGCTAACTAAATATGCTCATTTCATGCCTTTAGGTCATCCTTTTACAGCATCTAAAGTTGCCAATTTATTCATGAATAATGTGGTGAGGTATCATGGGTGGCCAGAGGAAATAATTTCTGATAGGGACCTAATATTTATGAGTAATTTTTGGGCTACGTTGATGAAAGCACACGGGTGCAGCTCGCTGAAGTCCACAACTTTCCATCCACAAACTGATGGACAGACTGAAAATCTCAATAAAACTTTGGAAGCTTACTTAAGGTGTGCTACTGGTGACATGCCTAAACAATGGATCAACCACTTAACAATGGCAGAACTTTGGTACAATACTAAGTTTCATACTGCAACTCAGATGACACCTTTTGAGGCACTATATGGTTATAAACCTATATTACCTAATTTAGTGAACAATAGCGAAAATGTGGTGGAAGCTGTTAACTATGTGGTGAAGACCAGAGAACAAATTGGCAAATTATTACAGGAGAATCTCCGCAAGGCACAAGAGAGAATGAAGTTGTATGCAGATAAAGGGAGGCTTGATAGAGAATTTAACTGTGGAGACATGGTCTATTTGAAAATACAACCATACAAGCAGCATTCGTTGGCAAACTCATCTTTTCACAAGTTATCGGCTAGATATTATGGGCCTTACAAGGTGATTGAAAGAATTGGAAAGGTGGCATATAAATTGGAACTTCCAGCTGACTCTAAGATTCATAATGTCTTGCATGTGTCACTATTAAAGAGACATCATGGAAATCACACAGTTACTGTTCAGCTTCCACAGTTTGATGAAGATGGAGATTTGCAACCTAAACCGTTGGCTATATTGGATAGAAGAATGAAACAGAAGCACAATCAAGCTATTACTGAAGTACTTGTGCAATGGGAGGAAACAAATCCTGAAGATGCAACTTTGAGAGAGTTACATGATTTACAAATGCAGTTCCCTGATTTTGAGTGGAGAGTAATTGAAAGGACTTAGGTCAAGTCCTTGTTTTAAGGGGGGGAAATTGTAATAATACATATTAGAAGCTATTAAAAATAAATAATTTTGTAATTAGCTGGAAGTTAGAAGTATAAATAGACCTATTGTATATTTTGGAAGCTAGAAATGAAATACAGTCAGTTGAACTTTCCTCTATATTCTTTCTATATGAATTGTGAGTGAGTTCCCTCTATACTCTGTTTGAGTTGTGAGTGAGTAAGAGTTTTGAATCTTGACAGGCAT